CTATATAGACTCTTCTGGAATCCCGCATACTAGACATATGTAAATTTTATTGTGGATTACATCATCGTTCAAGTGATAAATGATAATGAACAATTGTCCACATTGTTCACAGTTTAGACCCAGTCAAGCATTCACTAGCCATATTTCAATTCATATTTTGTAATTTTTGTTTGTTATTGGTTAAAACGAGATTTAGTTTTGTGCGCTTGATGCGTGTCGGTAATATATATATTATATATATATATTTGAGTGATGCGATCGTATGCATATTAATAATTAAATTCGCATCAGATTATTTAACAATTGTCGACGCTAATTTGACACACTTTATGTTAATTTATTACGAAGTTTAGCGGTTCGTATACATAATATAATGTGGTTGATGAACCGTTCGAAGCTGTCGTTGAATTTCCGTCAAAATCGATTCATGATGCTTAAGACATGCCTAATATTTACCTATTAAAGTGAGTAGGGCTAAATGGGTATATATGTATCTAAAAAGAAGTTATACATGATTTGTCTACAATATAGATTTTAATATAAATGTTGAGCTGTTGTTCAATTGCAGAAACATAGGTTTTTCTATATTCATAATTTATCAGTGTATTTCGTAACTCGGGTAGAGCTGCTGGGTATATGAAGACTGAAGCTTTACATGATCTGTCGTGAATATAGATTTCAATACAAAAAATATAAACCGAATAATAAATTTGCTATATTCATATTCTTTTCCCAGGGTATCTCATAGTTGCGCCTAGTTTTTGTTGATATCAAATGGGGAATTTTAATAAGTTTTTAACCAGTTTTTTTTTTTTAAAGTTATTTAGCAGTGCTATTAAATGATTTTGTATTTTCGAATTGTTTTCATGATTATCGTCGGCTGTCAGCGACTGATCTACAAATGTCGCAATAAATTGAAATTAATTGGCATGAATAAATCTCAGGTCAACAGCTCGGCCTAATCACACACACACGTACACACGCATACATAAACAGCTTAAGCGCAAATAGCGCATAAACCTTCGTCTAATTGTCGCTTAGATGCCCTTTACGCTTTAGATATGGTTAATATACATCTCATGGATGCACGTGAGCTGTGAGGCTCAGGGCTGGCAGCAAGAGATGGACAAATTTATTTAATTACCATCGCAGTTGTCTGTCAGCCAAACACTTCAGATAATTGCAAGTGTAGGCCAAACAACCTTTGACTGCGCCTCCATTCATTGACCCGGCCCGTCGAGCACTGTCAACACTTGGCCAAACAGACACACACACAGATACGCACACATACAGTCATGAAAATCAATAGGAAATTGAAAATGCGAGCTGCTTAACCAACCACCAGGCAACCAAACAACCAAACAACCACCCCCAACCAATCCACTCAATGCCTGGCTCGCAATGCACGTGACACCTTTCGGTGGATAAGAATTGAGGCGAGGCCCAGCCCCTCAACTCACACTGATACTCACACACACATACATACGCACACAGCCATAGACACTGCTTACTCACTGGCATAATACGAGCAGCAAAAAAACAACTAAAACAACAGCTACAACAACAACAATTACGACGAGGCACGCGTCTTTTAGGCGTCATTCATGGCGTGTTGGTTGCACATTAAACGCGTTTTCATCGTGAATGCTTTGGCTTTAGCCTTTTATTTTCTCGCTGGCCGCATAGTGCTGGCCTCAGTTTAGAGGGGCAGCTGAGAAAAAGCTAGTTAGAAGGTAGAAAAAGGCTATATTTTGGGTAATGGAGATAGAGCTTATTACAGTAATTATCTACTAGATAATATTGTATATTTATATTTTATAGTAATATGTAATTTTTTTTTTTTTTTATAGTAATACAATTTAGGTTAGAAATAAAAAATTTTAAAAAATTGCTAAAATAATATGGAATTGAAAATTTTTAAAATTTTAACAATTGTAATAGAACATGTGGTTATGAAATATATAATTATTTTTCCATTAATTGGCTAATGAATAAACTCTAAATATTAAAATTTAAAAACAATTATATGTATCATAATAAATACATAAAATAATGAAATAATTAGCATTATTTTTTATAAAACAATTATAAAAATGAAAATTTGAAATTATCATATAATATAAATAATTTTATTAATCTACCATTAGTTACTTCTATAAGTATTAAAATTCATACAGCTGAAATATCGCAATTTGTAACCAGAGAAACAAAAGCTGAACGTGCCGCTCTATGTGTGTGTGTGAGTCATGTCAATACGAATCCAGGCAGTTCCCATTGCCCGATTTTCATTCAAGAAATTTGCTGAGCGGCTCTGCGCAAAAGCGGCCCAGAAAGAGAGACCAAAGAGAAACCCTAACAAGGAGGGCTAAGGTTTTTCAAAGTGGGCCCACTGAGGGGATAAAGAGCCGCCATCACGTGATATTGTGTGTGTGTGTGTGTGTGTGTCTGTATGTGTGTGACAACGTGGCGCCGGTTAAACGGCATGTTGCTGTCTGAATTCGGCGCCCTGGAAACCGAATTCGTTACGGGCTCGGTTTTAGCTTCGGGCTTGGGGTTTGTACTTGGCTCGGTTTGGGGTTCGCTATTGCTAGTTGTTTTTATTTCGTTGTTGTTTTACTTTTCTCTTCTGTTTTTTGTTTTCGTGTTTTTTGTTTTTTGGGTGTCGCTTTACATGCTCGTGTGCATTGTTGCTTCATGGTTTGGCTTTTGTGTGTGGGCTTACAACAGCAGCAGCAACAACAACAACACCAACAACAGCAAACACGCTGTGAAATCAGGTCAATGAAATAGCAATATTTGGCACGGCTTTAAAGCGTCGTCGCTGGCATCGCATTTCGTTGTCGCTTCTTCTGGCTGGGCGAAGGTGAGCCTGAGCCCCAGTGGGTCGCCTTCGCCGCCACCTCCTCTTTGGCATGTTGTGGTGTCAGACGTTGCGCTTGCCAATCGGGCCACCCACCCAAAAACATATAGACAAAGACAGAAGAAGAAGACAAAAATCAACACTAACTGTATATAGCTTCTGCTACTCTGTTGCTGTTGTTGTTGCTGTTGCTTTGTTGACAACATTTTCCGCTTGCACGTCTTGAGCTCTATTTATACTGTGTGTTTCTATTATCCGCTTTTGTCCTCTGACTTTGAATTTATTTGTATTCAGCTGGCAATGGCTTAGTTTATTGTTGACGACGTGCAACACGTACAGCTCGATAATTGGCTTCGTGGCATTAGCACGCTTTGACCAATTCATTAAAACTGGAATCAAAGTATCTTATTTTGTTGTTGTATATTTTCGCAAGTGGCTAAAGGGATTAATTTTTCTTATATCTTAATCAATTTCATACGCTGTCATTTGCGACATATTTACACTGATAGTAATTTATTCAAGTTTTGGTAAATTTTAAGGGAAATTCCAATTCAGCTTAAGCATTACAGATGATCAAATTCGAAGATTCCTCATACAAATTTCCCACTATTGTGTGTTGTCATAGCTCAAGGCTAAAATCCATTTCTCGTAATGGTGAAATGTTGATAGTCCATAAGTTGTTTTTCTAGTAATGACTAACTCTATATTTCGCTGAATCCGATCAATAATATAATGAAATTTGTCTGAGTGTAATTGTCTTAACAAGCTGGGACTTCGATTTTTACATCCGCCGCAGCCAGACTCGAGTCCATTAGTTCACTCACCCATCACAGCCGCAGTGAGGTAAGCAATTAGATAAAACAGAAAGAGATAGAGCGAAGGGGAAAGAGAGGGGGAAGAGAGAGAGGGATAGATTCCTTTGAGCGGAATATTATTTAATATTTACAGTAGCACACGGCGTATGAGTAATGTCGTTTTGCGTGCGTGTAAATGACGTCAACAATTGCTATTCATTTGGGTCTAGTTATTTATTTATTTATTTATGCAGAGGCCTGTCAATTGTACTAACATGGCTCTTGTTTCGGGCCAGATTTGTATTTTTGCAAATATTGCTATGCCAAGTGCGTCTGCCAGAGGAAGGAGCTGGCCGGGCATGAGAGGGTGTGCAGGGAGTGAGGGCGTGCAGCTCTGAAAATGCGCTGTCAGCAGCTGCGGCTGTTGCACTTTATGTGTGTTGCCAAAAAAATTTGTTTGCACTGAGCCAATTGCAAAGCTGTTACGTGCTGCCAGCGTGTAAATGTATATTTACGTGCTGTGTGTGTGTGTGTGTGTGTGTGTATATGTGTTGATGTATTTGCTTAGTCAGTAAGTTTGTCTGTCCTTGAACTTTCGTTGCACTTTAGCACACAAATCCCACATATAACTTGATGTAGAATATTTAGAGAGTGCAAAGTTTGCTCCTTACATTATTTAGGTAATGCCTTTGACAACTTTTTGAGGTCAATATTGCTTTCGTTTCCCTCTGTAAATATATTTATATTACCCATACGCCGAGTGCGCCTCAAATGTTATGTAATAAACCCCCAAAAAAAACATATATATCGATTTCAGCTTATCTAGATTGATATGCGCTTGATTAGGGCCAATATCGTATCTTCTGTTTGAGCTCAAAGTCTACGCTTATCGTCGATTGGCCACAAGTTGAAAGCCGAAAAAAAAACCAGAACATCAAATTATAAACAACATGTAAATATGCCGCTCAAACGCTGACTGGGCACTTTCATATATATATCAATTTTATATATATGTTTTATTTCGTTCTTTTTTATTAACTTTTAGTTTATTAACCTAATTTTATTGCTGTTGCCGCTGGGCTGGCTGTCAGCCGCTCTCATGAATATATATTTATATGCACATATGTATATGTAAATATATTTATTTTATTTATCGCAATAATTAGTGAGTTGAAAGGCAATCGCGCAGCTTGAGTGTTCTCGCTTCTTTTCACAAATAAATCACCGTCTAGATTTATAAATATAGAGCATAATTTATAGCTATACATATACTTACATTCATAGATTTATACATTTAATGATTTTACATAATTTTAATTTGTGTTTCTTTTCTTTTCCCATTGCAGCTCGACATCTTTCGCATTGCACTCGATGCGTTGAACTATTCGGAACGAACCACCAATAAAAAAAAAAAAAGCAGCACACATAAACACACACACACCCACACAGAACCCCACTTACACACACAGCAACAAAATGGCCTTAATTATGAAATACATCGAGAGCATAAACAGATATATGGACACACATAGTGGTAAGTTGTGCCAGCTACTAGCTATGGCTAACACTTACATAGCTATCTATATTTATATGATAAATGTATATGTACAAACATGCATACCTATACATATACATATATACATATGTATATGTTTAGGCCCGCTAATTTGTGTAACCTTGATGTTTCGTATTTGTTGTTATTATTATTGTTGTTGTTTCTGTTTGTTGATGTGCTCGCTGCTCTTCTTTCTGACATTTCTCTGCAAAACAGCAAAGGTTTAGCAAATGATTGAGTAATTTTTGACACCAGCTCACTAATTGCCCCAAACAGAGAGAGACAGAGAGGGAGAGAGAGAGAGCGGCTAAAAAACAACTCTAGGTTCAGGCCAAACCACAGCTAATAATCAAAATTTCAATATCAGTCAGTGTCTTGGCTAAAAGGAAATTTAGCAGGAAGCTCGCTAGCAAGCTCTCCCTCTCTCCCTCTCTCTCTCTCTCGCTCTCTTCCAACCTGCATCCTTTATGGCATATATAGATATTGTATATACTCTCTCTGTTTATTTTATTTATTATGCCACACATGCAGCATGTCCCCCCTCACTTGTAGAAATGTTTAGCGATTTCGACGCGCTAAAATTATGTTTCAATATAACATGGATACGTACTCACATACAATAATACATACTCGACTTTAGATATACTTTTTATGTATAGAGAGAGAGAGAGAGAGAGAGAGAGAGCTACCATAGCTGCTGCTACTTATTTGACTGTGCGTGTCAGCATTTCTTGGAAGAGACAGACAGAGAGTGAAAGAGAGGGAGAGAGTTTGCTTTGGTTTGGTTATTTTAAGGGCGAACGTATAATATGTCTTATTTGCGTTATATCGGAAGTAAAGTAGCCATCAAATGGCGCCACTCTAACAAAACACGCATACATATATAATTATTATAACATCAGTCTGTTTACAAATATTGCTGAAAGAAGCAGTAAAAAACCTAGGCCACGATATGCCTTTTGGGAACTCTATAATAATTCTAAAGGGAACGTATTGTTGGGACTTGCTTTATTCTGTTATTGCGATTGAAGTGTTGATAAAATTGTAGTACTATGTTGAGAGAGGTTCTTATTGTAGTCTCATTAAGCTGTCTTAAAGAGGTTTTGTATAGCAAAAGATAGATAGATAGATAGATAGATATATAGATGAATAGACAGATAGGTGCAGATAGATAAATATATAGATATATGGATGAGTGATGGATAAATAGATGAATGATAGATCGATATATATTCAATCTTGTGTGGAAACAAAATAATATTTCAATTTCTATTCATGGTTCATTAATTCTAGTTTATTCTCCTTAGACAGTTTATTTACTTTGAACAACTTTTCATTGATTGTGAGAAATTATATCTAGTATTGGATACCTGCTCAAGTTTTAAATCATACTGCGTGTTTCCACCTTTGAGCAGAGATTTAAAACAATATTACTGAATAAATTTCTAAATTGTCTTATGCAATTGAGAAACTTGAACATTGCTCAAACACTTGAGACTGACTAAATCTATCTGTCATTCAGACACAACTCAAGTTGTTTCAGAGTTTGGCACTTGGGCGAGCTCGTGTTTCATGATTAGCTAATGTGATAACCGGACGAGTTACCCTTTATTTTCGCAATCATTCATTCAATCCATTTCGGCAACAATTTCACTTGGCACATTTGCTCAATCAAGTTCGCTTGCCTTAATTAATATTCGTTTATTAATTTTTGGCTTTTGGTTTTTCGACTTTTTCACTCTTTATGATTTGCTAATCTATTCATCAAACTGCGGGCTGGGCCGCTGTTCAATTTCGTACAGTTTTATCATCTATCTATCTTTGATTGTTTTTTTTTTTTTTTTTTTTTTTTGCTTACGCATATGTATATTTTATTATTGTTATTATTGATTTATTTATTTTGTGTCTTCCTTTTGCCGCTGTGCTTGAGCAATCAAAATTCGCGTGATTATTCGTCTGGTTGCATAAGTTATTCATGAGTTAAACAGTCGACTTGAGTTTACGCATTTTTATGACAATTATCGCTGCCGAACTAACTGAATGCCAAATGAAGGGAGTGAAGAAATTCCCAAAGCCACGATGCATATAAATATTTTATAAAAAATAATATATATCAATTAAATAGATGGTTAAACTTGAACTCTGTAATTGTTGTGCATTAGCCGGGATGTGCTGCATCATTATCATTACCATTACCATTATCATTAGCCTCGCTAATGAGTGCAAGTCTGTGACATTGTCTGAATACACGAACTTGCTACAAATCAGGGCCAATGCCCAATGCCCAATGCTAATGATGTTCCGATGATAACGCTTGCTTCGTTATCTAATATAGATACTTACTATCTAGATATACATGAATATACATGTAACTGCTGTTTTACACATACATATGACAAAGGCTCTCGTACATGACAACAACAATAATAAACACTTTATAAACAACATTTGGAAGTAGGAAAAACAATTTAGGCATCAGCTAATGAATTGAATTATTTATATTTAATTGATTTATACACTGCCTAGCTTAATCACGCTTACTCACTTCTCTCTTTTCTTTCCAATTGCCCAGATTCAAGGACAAAGGACTGGCCCATGATGTCATCACCCTTCCCCACACTGGCCGTTTGCCTCACATACGTCTACCTGGTTAAGGTAAGTCGTCACACTGCCCACTACACAACAGGTGTTTCACTGGCTTTATGGCCACTTGATTTGGCCATATGGTTAGCCACTTAATAAACAGATTTGGGTCATATTCCAGACCAGACCAGACCAGAACAGAACAGAGCAGTCGCCACTCCGGCGTAATCTCAAGTGTTATTAACATGCGGAAAGCACACACAACGTGGGCGTGTACTCGCTGATAGTGTCTACGCTTTTTTATCCGTGTTTGTTCTTGTTTTTTGTTTGTCGCGCTGAGCACATTTATGATCCAGTTACATAGAAACTAAACTCAGAGCGAAAATGAATTTCTAATCATAAGGCGTTTTTATAATAGTCCAATTTAATCAACCCGCTGATAAGGCAGACAGTACTGTGAGTCAATTCTATACGTATGAGAAATTCCAGTAGTATTAGGCGACGATATCTACAATAGAACTTAGATTATATACAACTTTATAGAAACCCAAAGAAATACACCTGAAAATGAGGGCGAAAAAAGATTAGATCGAAAGCAGTTGATAATGAGTTGAGAAGGAAGTTGAATAACTTTAAATGGAAATGCTTTCAGAACGTAGATTACGGAAATATATAAATACATATAAACTTTTTTAGTAAGTAGTTTCTCTGTGTGTCTGGCTCACAAAGCCAAGTTGATAAAGATAGCAAATGTTTACCCGCAGCATAGACGCACTAGTTTATCAGTTATAATTATAGCCAATGATTTATCAAGCTAACAAGAAAACACATACATATACAAAATACTCTTTCCAAAAAGGAAATGCTCTAAGCGGCCATCAATCATGAAGACATTTTTAATCAAATAAAAACTTATATTTTAGACATACATACATGTCCACAAAAATTTGTCAATTTATCGATCTTTATCTCCTAACCTTATCTTAAAAATGGGAAAATACAATGTTGGCATAAAATTCGTCTGTCTGCTGAGCTATAATATATACGAAATATAACAAATTCCTATCTTGAGCTAAAAAATCGACAACTCTTCTAGCTGCTATCTCTATTTTGACAGCTTGCCTAATCAGTTTCAATTTCTTTGCTACTCAGGTGCTTGGCCCGCGATTAATGGAGAATCGAAAGCCCTTACATCTACAGAACCTGCTGGTCATGTACAATGCGTTACAGGTTGTATTTAGTGCGTGGCTCTTCTATGAGGTAAGTGTCGATTACAAGCATGAACGCATGAACAAACACATCATCATCAACAACAACAACCACAACAACTTTATGGCTGGCGTCGTCGTCGTTTTGGCTGCTTGCTTAACTGGCCCGCAAAGCGTTTAAATGACAATCAGCTTGCAACGTGCAACGTGCAACTGGCAACTGGCAACTGACAACAGGCAAATGTTACTGCTGCTGCTGCTGCTGGCGCTTTTAATGTGCACTTTATTTTATGTTTTTCTTACGTTCTCTCTATTTCATTTTTCTTTTGGCATTAATCTGATTTTGTTTTTAGTGTTTAATGGGCGGCTGGTGGGGTTCGTACAGCTTCCGCTGTCAGCCAGTGGACTATAGCGATAGTGCCACATCTAGGAGAGTAAGTGTCCAAAAAAACAACAACAACAAAAACCCTATATATAACTCTGTGTATGCAGTAGGAAATGCCCCTCTCAGTGTCTAGTGAAAGTGAAAAGTGTAGGGAAATTGTCTCATCCAGAGTTCCCAGTTTAGATCACAGATCTTATATATTTTTTACATATATATATATATATATTTACAGTTGCGTCCATGAAATTAAAACTTGATCCAAGTGAAACGGTACTCATTCCGCGTATATAGCTACATAACTGGATTTCATATTTAACTATTTATTTATTTATATGCAATCGCTTCTGACTCAGTCACGAATCAAACAATTTTAACCAGCATTGCTTTATATATTCAACATATATACATATTTTTTATTTATTATTATTTTCTTATTATGTATTCCTCTTATAATTTATAATCACATTTAATTAGCTTTTTAATAACTGCGCCGCATAAAAACAATTACCGAGCGAGGCGTGCAAAAAGTGTAGCTGGTTTCTATTTAGCGCCCTTATATATACTTACATATATAAGCATACACATGTATGCGTCTATGTAGTGCTATATACATGTTCTGTATATAAGAGTATGGTAATTAATTTGTGCAAAGAAAACAAAAACATGATCGCTTTAAATAATGTTGCTGCTTATTTTAATTAATATCATTTAAACGCTGTCTACTAACCGAAAAAAAAAACTTCAACTATGTGTGTGTCTGTGTAAATATCAATGTATGCGTGTGTATCTGTGTGTGTGTATCTGTATGTCTGTGTGTGTGTGCCATGCCTAATTCTTTACAGCTTTTACATCAATTGGAAGCCGCTAAATAAAAGTGCCAAAACGCCAACGCAAAACCGATGCCAGCAAAAAGAAAAAGAAAATCATCATAAATCACAAAAAAAATTAAAAAAAAAAAAACAAAAACAAAAACAAAATTTCGATATATGAAAAGAAAAACAAAACAAAAATAAATTCTACATTTGCAGATAGGAGTTTCCGGTTGGCTAACAGGACATTATAGCTTCCGATGTCAGCCAGTTGACTATAGTAATAATCCTAGAACGTTAAGGGTATGTGTTAAACTGACAAACAGACGTTGAATAACGATATTGATTAGCTTCTATTGATAACGATAAACTAGTTGATAAGAATACTTTTGGTGTGCTTCACACTGGTGTGCTTGTGTGGGTGTGTGCGCCTGAATTGGTTCTGGGCTGATAATACAAACAACAAAATACCTACATAGATACTTACCATACCAATATTCAATATAAATATATATAAATATAGTCTATCTACTTTGGGTTCACAGCTGTTGGTTTCACATGCGCGATAATCAAATTTTGCACCTATTCTTACACCTAAACAATAACCCAATTCTGTATAATATATAATTACAACTTATGCTAACCAACAACAAAAACAACAACAACTAGATCCTAATCCAGATCGGAGCATGTGTATGCCGTATGCATAACTGCCAGCACCCTTAAATTGTGTCACTAAAACAGATCGATAACAATCGTTATCGATATCATCTCTCTTACAGAATGTAGAAAACTCTGGACCCCAAAAAACTACCTATCCATCCAAACTGGAACCTGTATACAAACACTCTCTATCTCTCTAAGCCCCCATATAACTATATATACATATACAACCCCCCGAAAAAATACATATTTAAGACTCTATTTATCAATGGCCAGGCAACTGATTTCTTCAAATTTTCTCCAAAACCGTTAATCAATTAATTGAATGTTTTTACCCCCTCCAACTCTACTATATTTTTTGAACTTTCTGCTGCATTTTGACTATTAATATACTTATTAAAGCGTGTGCATGAATGACTGAATTGAATTGAATTGAATCAAGTTACAAAATAATTTGATTATGATTTAAAAACAATAAACATAAATTGAAGCCTCTAACTGAGTGTGAGTGATGGAAGAGAAGCAATGGCCATGCCGTGCTTAGTGGATACCCTAATCAAGATTTGATTAAGTGTTTCATTCATGAAACATACGCAAATTAGGGTATTCAAAAGTCTGTGTGTGAGTTGATTTAATTTCAATTTTCGCCTGCTCAAAACCTTTGCTAATCAAATCTACAATATTTTCTCTGCTGCTGCCTCCTCCCACTCAGATGGTTCATGCGTGCTGGTGGTACTACTTTTCCAAGTTCACAGAGTTCATGGATACGGTAAGTGTGACTCCCATTCACAATGTAGCTCAGATTCACAATCGTCGATGCTCGTTTGCAGATTTTCTTCGTGCTGCGCAAGAAGACGAGCCAGGTAACAACTCTCCATGTGATCCATCACGGCTGCATGCCCATGTCGGTGTGGTTCGGTGTTAAGTTCACTCCAGGTGCGTTTCCTGAAAACGGCCAACTGTGTTGTCAGATACCCTATAATGCGGCATATATATTCTAGGTGGTCACAGCACATTCTTTGGCCTGCTCAACACATTCGTTCACATTGTGATGTATACGTACTACATGTTCTCGGCCATGGGTCCACAGTACCAGAAGTACCTCTGGTGGAAGAAGTACCTGACAACGCTGCAAATGGTAAGCGGATTAATCATATCACTATTACTATATAAATCAGTTTATTAAATCTGTGATTTATGGTCGCCCGGTACAGGTTCAGTTTATTCTTATCATGGTGCACGCCTTCCAATTGCTCTTTATTGACTGCAATTACCCGAAGGCCTTCGTCTGGTGGATAGGCATGCATGCTGTTATGTTCTTCTTCCTGTTCAACGAGTTCTACAAGGCAGCCTACAAAAACCGTCTAATGGTGAGTGCCAGAACACCCTCTCAACTGGATAAACAAAAGCCAGTTTTGCCTCTCTCTCTCTCTCTCTCTCACTCTTCCGGAAATGAGAGCATTTTGAGGTGCAACAGCTTCTCACGTCGCCCATTATGATAATTATCGGCCATCAAGGCGCATAGTTGAAAGGCCTAACTGAGGCCTACTCGCCCCGCCGTGGCTTCCCACGTTGCTTGAACGCCATTTAAAGCCCCACAAAATGACATAAACATAAAATGCGTTCGCATTGCTCGTATTCGAGATTCCGGATTTGTTCACGAATTCGTGAAAACGAAAACCGTGTGAACGCTTATATCACATACGGTTACATCCGATCTCTGTATGTTGCAGACGCCTATTGCAAACATCTGTTTCTCGCTCTCGCTCTCTGTGGTCTAAATTCATTAACGAAATTTCGTCAAGTAGGTCTCGGGGGAATTGGGTTTACATTTAAGTCCGCTTTGTCCAACACAAAAGCGCCAAAAATGTTGTCGCTTAATGATCTTCCACGCTCAACGTTGGCCCGTTGATGTCGACTGCGGCAGCGGCAGCGACATTGTCGGCGACCCACAGCATCCATTGAGCAGCGCTCAAGTGAAAGTTGAATGAAAAAAAAAAAAAAAAAAATACGAATGAAAAAGCAAAAAAAAAAAAATAAAAAAAAATAATAAACAAACGCTGACAAAGCGTCTCAGCTGATTGCATAATATGTATTTCTGTTGTTGTTGTTTTTTTTTTTTTGTGGGCCGCACACACACAAACATAAACAAAAGAAAACCCAAATAATGAAATATAATAAATTAAAATATACGTGTATGTGTGTGTGTAATCACGCGTAGCATGCGCAACATTCATATCAATCATACGCACCGTGGGTCTGCAATTACAAATTAATATTTCCTTTATGTGTTTGTTCACACGCTTTTATTTTTTTTTCGCAGAAGCAAAATGCAGCGCTGGCCAATGGACACGCAAAGCCGAACGGCTACTGCAAGAGCATCAATGCCCACGACGATCTGTTCTTGCCACAAACGACGACGACAGAGGCAACAGCAGCAGCAGCGTCAGCTACGGCCAAGGCCAACGGCAATGGCAACGCGGCGCTCAGCAATGGTCATGCGAATGGCCTGAAGAACGGCTATAAGACGCTGGCCAATGGCGATGCGGTGACGTCCTTGACCAATGGCAGTGCGCACAAATCGAACGGTGTCCTGCTCGCCAATGGCTTTGGTAATGGCAACGGCTATGCCACCCAGCTGCTGGACGATGTCGCCCAGGAGCTGAAACACCGGAAGACACCGAAATAATATCGGGATAATGCGGGTCGGCGCCAAAACAGAGCTTAGAGGAGAGGGTCAAACAGAAGAGAGCACAGCCAAGCGCCCGGAGCAGCAATTCATGCTCCAACAGTCATAAGCACACACACAAATCCACACATATACATCCACACATACACTCACACTCGAACAGCATTCATTTACATCCACATAAGCAGATATACATACAAGTTTCGGATATTGTATTGACATTGAAATAACTTTTAGTGAAGTATAAAAATATATATATATATACATAAAAGTGAAACACTAGGGGCATATTGTTATTGGTACTAATTATTATTAAACAATTTAATTAATAATAATTGTAATGCATAATAATGATAATAATGTTTGTTTTTACGGCGAGCATTCGCTTTGCATACTACAATCTGGTGCATACATATTCTTTTTTATATATGTATGTGTGTGTATGTATATACAGCGTATGTGCGCATGTATGATGCATCCATATATATAAAATACATTTTTGTTGCTTTTTTTTCTCTTTTTAACTACTTTAGTTGTACAAAGCTTTGTATAGAAAAAACAAAAAAATACAAAAAAAACAACAACAAAATATAATAAAACAAAACAAGAAAACAATTTAAAAATTGAGCCTAATGCTTTATTTCACTAAATTGTATGTGAGCATGGAATTAATCTATGTATTTAAGCATAGAATTTAATTTATATACTTATATATATATACTTATATATAAATGGAAAACAAAAACAAAAAAATACAAAAATAAGTTGGTTCAAAAAAGTTTTGTAAATGTATAAAGAAAAAACAAAAAATAATAAATTGTAATTTAATATTAGTCGCAATATTTGTTGAGGAATTTAAGCAAAAGCAGTCAAAACTATTTAAGCAACATATACTATAAACAACAAATTTGTGGAGATTCACAAATTGAAAAACAAAAAATCCATAAACAACAATTACATGTTTCATTAATTTATTACAAATAAATTATGCCACTAAACTGCAAACATTTTTGAAGGCATGCAACATTAGCATGCGACAGCAACTTACGACAAAATCAACAAAAAGAAAAAACCCCACAAAAATATACACATATATACATAATATGAATAAGATAAAATCAACAAAATTCCCAAGACAGCAAACTTTGTTGACAGAAAGAAAAAAAAAAAAAAAAAAAAAAAACAAGAATAAAAACAAAAAATCCAAGCAAAAAACATAAACAAAATAGACTTTAAGTCCCACACAGTCTAGGTTCCATAGGTATTCAATTGCAATACATTTTGTATGCGTAGTAGCCATTTTTGTGGAGCTGGAGCAGTATGTAAACACTATGTATGTAATTGTAATTATTATTATTATACAGAGAAAAAAAAACAAGAAACAAAAGAAAACAAAAATAATGTGTAGAAAATTAGGCGGAAATGGAGTGGAGCATTTTTTCAATAAAACACTAAAAAAAATACGCTTATGCAAAAAACTCACAATTCTTTTCATTTTACGATTTACAGAATACTTCAATTTATTTCAGGAATAAAAGATTTGTTGCCTTAGGTTCTCTATATATGATGATTTTTATTAACATTTATAATTCGGATGTGTTAGATTTTACATATATATTTGTCGGCTTATACGCCATGGCGTGGCGTATAAACCGTTTACAATCTATAATTTTATCTTAGATTTAGACTTGTTTTTGCTACGAGCTAAGCGTGTTAAGCTGTCCATAAGCGGTAGGCAGAAAGTAAAATGTAGAACACAGACGTCAACTACTTAAGTGATGGGCAATCGTAATACCCTTAGACTTATGCAAGACCATTATTAACACAAAGATTCACAAATATAGTAAATCATACATAAACGGCAATTGGTAGTCATTGTACTTATGTCGAGTAGAGTGGAGATATCATAGAACTTAATCTGTTTCGATTGTGGTCTATTCGTATGTATGTATGTGTGTGTGTGTGTGTGTGTGTGTGTGTGCTATATTGGGAGATGGTTGCGCTGATGTTGGCCTATTAGAGTTTATCTATGTGAGTAGGCAGCCAACGGCGCAATGCTTATAAGAACTGTAGTAGACTGGAGATTTTAAAAACACTTAAGTCTATGCCACGCACAGCAAACTTTAGTTGCGACGCGTGCGACGGCGTGAATTGCCAGCGAAAGGCGTGGCATTGGGCGCACCCGGATGCTGACCGCTATACAAATTGTCCAAGAACTCGTGCAGCGTAGCCTCACTGCAAATGTATATGTGAAATACGAATTCATTTTGTGTGATCAATGTGGACTTACCTGACACCACTGGCTGGTCCGCCAGGATGATGTGCATGCGATTGCGCTTGCTGCTGGTGTGAATGTTGCTGCTGCTGCTGATGATGATGTTGTTGCTGCTGCTGTTGCTGTTGTTGCTGCTGCTGCTGTTGAGCGCCGCGCACAATACGATACTGTACCATATGAGAATTGGGCTCCAAATGCGACAACGCACCCTTCTGGCAGTTGGCCCACTCGGTTATGTCGTACACTTTGCCATCCATCAACGCCAAATATTTCCAGCGCAGACCCAGCATGCTTGTCTCCGCCCAAATATCACCCTGCCAAATGGAAAATATATTACTAACAATAGTAAACAGTGTCTACGCCGCTCTCTACTCACATCCTTTGCCGAATGGCGTATCTTACAGGAAGCGCATTCACGCGCTGCATAATGAGGACGTTCAGTTAGCTTACGAGGATGACGTTGCGCACAGGTGCTACATCTGTTGATGCAAGAAATTATTACTTTAAGATTTAGTTGCTTTGCTAAGTCACTCGTGGCGCTCACCTTATAGTATTGGCCGCCTCGGTCATTTTGGTTTGCAATTGCGATAGCAAATCGTGCAGCTCCGTCCATGCCTTTTCCGCGTGCAATGCCTCGGCAATGCTTTGGTCATAGGCAAGACGATTTTCCTGCAAGCATTAAAGCCATTAAATACATGATCTTAACTGAGAATCTGGAAGATTTATATACCGGTTCACCAATCAATTCGAATGCGCGCTGCAGCACCTTGAATGCCTCCTCAGCGCCCGCCTGCTTGTTTTTATCCGGGTGCACCAGAACAGCAATTTTCTTATAGTGTTTTCGTATCTGCTCCTGTGGACTATCCGGCGGCACGCCCAATATGCTGCAATAATACAATGTTATTATTATAGCTAATGGTATTTAGTGTTGTTTGCTAACACAAACCTATAGGCATCCTTTCCCTTGCAGTTCAACAGCGAGTACATGGCCTCTTCACCTGTCTGCGGCAGTCGACCCGTTTTGAATGCTTCTGCATTAGCCTCCGGCGGCTTTCGCTTGTAGAAGCGTCGCCAAAATGCCCAACGAGAGTTCTTCTTGAAGCGCGCATCGAAGCGACGACAATAGTTGCGCCACCATATGCTCGGTTTGCCCGAATTCTGCTTCAGTTCCTTGTGCAGCTGGCGTGCATAAGCGACGCCAGCCAAATACGCTGTGGTGAGGCGCTCATACGCCATGCTGCAACCGAGCACAACAATGTCGTAGACCAAATAGAACAGCCAGGTGATCAGCTTGAGCGTATAGATCCACCAGGTGTGTAGAATGCGTTTGGCCAGCTCATAGTTGCGATTTGAGGCACTCGCATGAGCTGGCGAATTGGATGAGCCATATGCACCGCTTCGATTACGCTTCGAGGAGTACGAATACGAGCCAGAGTTGGAGCTTAAATTTGCATTCGAGGAGCCCGCATAGCGCTTCGACGACGATGAAGAATTTCCATTGTTATTGCTGTTGCTGCTCATGTTGTGGTGGCTATTGTTGTTGTTGCCATTGGAATTATTCGAATTGGCATTCGAGTAATTTGCATGCGAGTTGCTGTTGCTGCGATTGTTGTTGTTGCCATTGTTTGACTTGCGGCTGGAAAAGTTATTATTGCTATTGCTGCTGTTGCTGCTGCTGCTACTGCTGCTGGGAGCACTGCAGCTGTTGCTGGTACCCATGTTGCTGCTGCTGCTGCTGCTGCTGCCGTTGCCGTTGCTGCTGCTATTGCTGTTTGCCTTATTGTCATTCGTTTTGGCGGTGAATCCATTCAGATTGTTCGTGCTATTCGTGTTGTTTCCGAATTTCGTTTGGGCAGAACGCTTCTTTTCCGCATTGGCTTTACCAGATTTAAATGGTGGCGGCAACTGTTGTTGTTGCTGTTGGGGCTGGGGCTGTTGCTGCTGCTGCTGCTGTTGTGGTTGTTGCTGTTGCTGCTGCAATGGCTGCCCAAGTAGAACAGAAATATTAGTTCAATAAATATATGACAATAATATTTAATTATATATTAAATACTCAAAATTCTGACATTATCTATTAATAATCAATGAATGCTGATACACCTCGAGAAACAATTTTCAGTTTCCTAGATAAAAACTAGTTTTCTAGTTTATACACGGGCCTTACCGCTTTTGGCTGTGCTCCTTGATTCGACTGCTGGCGCTTCTTGCTGCGATGTCCTGTTGCGTTGCTAGATTGTCCATCCTTGATTTCGTGCAGCGGCGAGCGCTTGGCATTATTGCGCATCTCCCTATTCCCATTTCCATTGTTATCCTCCTTGCCTGATCGTCTCTGTGTTGGATGGCCATTCTCCAAATTATTTACCGAGCGTGTCTCATTGCCCGCATGGTTGCTGGCGAGCATTGTTGCCGCGGTGCCACGCAGTGTGCTGCCCTTGCTCAAGACGTCCGAGTAGGACATGGGCATGGGCTTCACCTCGGCCACAATGCGCTTCTTGCCCTCGGGCGGACCAGATACCACAATCGGTGGCTTCTTTAGGGCAGTGGTTGTGGTTGCTGCGGCTGCAGATGATTCTGCAGCACTTGTTGTTGTTGCCGCTGCTAATGCTTCATTTAGCTTAACATCTTTGGCGGCTGAGTTAGCCGGTTGTACCTCCACGCTATTGGCATGATACTCAGGTAGTGGCGCTGGCGACTGTATTTGTGGTTGCTGCAATTTAACAGGAGACGGCGGCTGTTGCGGCACTGTCGCTGCCACTGCCGTCGGCGTTGCTTCCACATAGGTGTTCGTTTTTTCAGGCGCCTCAGCGCCGAACTGTATATAACTGCTGCCCGTTAAATTGGGGGACCAGTTATTTACAAGGTTATTTATAAACAAGTTGGCGCTATTGCTGCTTGCCACAGCAGAAGTGACGCCCGTGGGGATATCATCAACCTGATGGAATTGTGGAGGTGTTTGCTGTTGCTGCTGTTGTTGTTTTTGTTGTTGTTGTAGTTGCTGTTGCTGCTGTTGCTGTTGCTGCTGTTGGCTTATAATATTCATCTCTGGCTTTGGCAGCAGCGGATTGGTGGCAAACAGTTCATATAGTGGCGTTTGCTGTGCTGTCGATGGCTGTGGCTGTGCCTGATTCTGCCCAGCTGTTGCAGCTGCCGGATGATGCTGGTTCGCTGGTGCAATATTGATATGCGAGTAGTTTGCTGCTGCAGCCGCTGCCGCATGCTGGGCGTAAACATCATTGACGGCATTCTCTGGACAGTGATACACCTTCAGGAAATTTCCATGGCCGACAGGCAGCACAGAATACGTTTCGGTTTGACCTGGTGGTCCGGAGTACGCAAGATTGTATAAATATTCATTGTAGACGTGTGGAGAAGGAGCTGGCTGCGGTTGTGGTGGCTGATGATGATGATGGGGTGGAGGCGGTGGGGCGTGTGGATGGTGGGGTGGAAATTGGACACCCATGTGCGGTGGCCACATTAATGGTCCCTGCCCCTGCTGCTGTTGCTGATGCTGATGCAACAAATGTTGTTGATGGTGCTGCTGATGCTGTTGCTGCTGTTGTTGTTGCTGCTGCTGATGTTGCTGGTGTGCCAAAAAATTGGCAAACTCCGGACTGTGTGGTGGCAAACTGTGATAGGCGGCCGCAAAAGCCTCATCCTCGACAATCCCACTCGAGCAAATGCGCTCATCCTGACGTGTCTGCGTCGTCATATCCTCCAAAGAAAAAAAAAAAACTTTTGCCAGTGCCTTTTGCTTGCACTGACGCTATGTCCTATTAGAATTTCATGCGTTTGTGCGTTTTGTACGCTTGGCGCTCCATTTATGAGTTAGCGCAATAGTTTGCAAATACTGATTGCAAACGTTAATTGAAATACAGTTGCTACACTTCTCTTTTTGCAATAAGTTTTAACACAAATAATATATTATGCTTGCGTGTGTAAGTGTATGTGGCACCAATGCCACTCACAATAAACGTAAACAGGGCTACATAGATATAATCGATTTGACGCGAATTTGCGAAATAAATACTATTTTTGCATATTTATTGGAATCTGGTATTGTTTATTTTTAGGATTATAATTTGCTGAGCTAATTTTGGTATGATATGTGATTTCCTAATATACGAAACAATGACAATAGTTTTAGATTGGTGTTCATTATTCGGGCGATGTGGCAACTGCGCTCTGTATCTATGTATGTTGGCTGTAAACATTCAACACGCTGTTAATTTTATATCTGCTGGAAATATATTAGGACGATATACAACATTTTTTCAGGTAAATCGCATTTGACATTTAGTATATTCAAGTACCCCCAAGAACCTGTTAGTACTTCATATCGAACACGCGCCAAATTTCGAAGGGGTATGCAATGCCACCCGGTCACACTATTTAACAGTGACATATTGAGCATTTATGGGTGGCAGGTTGGCGCAAAAGTTCTATGTAACGCATAAAATGAACGATTGTCAGACACTTGGTTAATCTGTTTAGCAAACTGCTGAAAACAGCAGATCTGCTAAAATCAACACGAAATGCCAACAACTCGGCCCATAGTAACTGTTGTGCGCGCTGGCCGACAAAGTTATGCAGCTGGTTTGCGAATACAGCAGGAGTTGGCTAAACAAAATGTGTCACAGCATTCGGAATTTCGTAATTTCCTGTTGCTATTGGAACATGATCCAGTCTACACCATTGGCATACGAACCAAAGGCTACACAGATGAGGACGAGAAGAAACTGCGCAAACTGGGCGCCGATTTCCATCGTACTGATCGCGGAGGACTTATAACATTTCACGGTCCCGGTCAATTGGTTGCCTACCCGATAATAAACCTGCGCCAGTTCACGCCAAGCATACGATGGTACGTCGGCACACTGGAACGCACAGTGATCGAAACTTGTCGTCAAATGGGCATACCAAATGCGACTACCACAAAAGACACGGGGATTTGGGTTGATGATCGCAAGATTTGTGCTATCGGAGTGCACGGCTCTCGTTACGTCACAACCCATGGCATTGGCCTCAATTGCTCGACTGATCTGAAATGGTTTGAACACATTGTACCGTGCGGCATCGAGGGCAAGGGCGTCACCTCACTCACAGAGGAGCTTGGAAGACACACCAGTATAGCCGAAGCAACAGATGTCCTGCTGGACAGCTTTAGGAAGATCTTCGAGTGCTGCGTGCGGGCAGAGACACAAGCGCGAGTCACTAATTGATGCCAACGATATGTTTATGTATTAGTAAATTATTTAGTTGAAACGCGCTTTATTTAAATCACATTTCTTGGCCCGCCCATCACTGGGAAGCTTCCCACGCATCTCCATCTCCAAACGACCCTGTTCCCTTAGAGCAGCCTTTCGCATGCGTCGCTCTTGCCGGGATTCTATTTCACCATTTGTATTAAAGTAACGTTCTCTAAAGTTCTGCGAAGCAGCAGTGGTGAGCTGTGTGTCATTGGAATTCTCATTGAGTTTTTCTTCCTTGATGTACTCCATATGCTTCTCATATGTCAGCAGACGTCGCGCTGTATTTCCAGCTAGTGGCTGCTCCGAGTTGGCCACGAGGCGCAGATGCGTGTGTTGAGGTATAATTGTTTCATTGTAATCCTCACTAGAAGTAGTTAATATCAGGAGTTTGCCAACTGTGGCTTGTGCCTCGTTTACTTACCGATGAAAGGGCAACCAGCAAACAAGACGTCCGCCCAGCTTCAGATGCGTTGCACCAAATTCCAGTAGATCCGCATATAAATGGTGCAGCGCGTAGTGTGAGGTTGAGGGATAATGCGCCATATCAGCTGTTCGGGTATTATCCTTGGGATTAACTTTAGTCTCCACCTTCTCCGTTGCCTCACGTATTCCATATGGAGCTGTCAGTAAAGAGAAATTTGCGTAAATTTCGATTGATGACTTCTTAGAAAAAGCTGTACCCACGATCGGTGATGATGCTATCGAAGGTAATTCGCCTGTGCCACAGTGGATTTGAAAAGTCAGCGACCAACACGTCCATGTACCGATTCGCACATCCGTACTGTTGCAGATTAGCTCGAATACTCTCATCTTTATCACGCACTTTCTGGGTAATGCGACTGGGCCGGCAGCGTGCATGCACCATCATGAAGTCAATGTCGGCGCCCAGCACGTACCCTCCAAACTTCGCTGCACTCACCAGCAGTGAGCCAGTGCCCACAAAAGGATCGAAAACGAGGTCGCCGTCACGCACCAAAGCCTGATTGGCCATCAGGAGGCTGAGCTGTGCATCCATGCTTGTGTTGCCAATGAATTTTCGTTGTTTCAGCGAGAGCTGCTTGATCAAATGCCGCTGTCCGTGCACCAACATGCGGCCAAAGAGAATATCTTCGGGTTCAGCAGGTACAGCTGTGGGATCCAAGCCCCAAAATTCCAGGTACCACCATTCTACTTGTGGATTCTTCAGATTGACAGCTCCTTCGATCGGCAAATAGTCCATAGTTTCGATCTTTTCCACCTTCTCGCGCTGGCTAAAGTGCTTGTTGTATGTCTCCACGGTTATCTTGAAGCTATTGGCCTTAAAAAATTCCTTGAGCGCTTCTTGATGCAAATGCACGTGATTTTGCAATTGTTTATGAAATTCAGGAAATGTGCGGGCATGCGAATATAGCTCGATGATAGAGCGTAGTGCAATCGACCTGGATGCATATTGATGTGCTGTTTCATCATTTGGAAATTCCACTAGCCAAAACGGTTTCTGTAAAAAATATTTTATACTGAAATTGGCTCAAATCAAGTTGGCCGATGTCTGTTACCAAGCGATGTTCTGAAAGGTTTCGAAATTGTAGACCAAACAATTTAACAATCGATTCGAATTCGGCGACACGAAAGTCAACGTGCTCCTGGGCAAACCAAAGTATATATTTTTTCCATAACATTGTCATTTTTCTAAATTGTAAATATCATTATGTGCATAAGCGTGTATATTTGTTGTTTTAACATTACATAGGTGTTAACGTATCGATTATTTGGCAATTTCTATCGATTGGGCCGATAGGGTGCAACTCTGTGATACGTCAACTCGGTCATTTTGCATAAACTTCGGAGGCACACGTAGGCGAGCTGAAGATTTTTATAAATTTTCTGCTACAGCAAGCCTAATCGCTGTCAAAACACTGTGAAAAAAAAGGTATAAAGTGTCAGTGCATTAAATTGTAATCAAGTTAAAATGGCACGTTACACTCAACGTCCGGAAAATGCTCTTAAACGAGCCAATGGTAAGTGCGAGAAAATTTTCCATGCGGCAGCGAATTAGCTGGTCAAAGCGAAATGTCAAAAGTGACAGGCGCACAATTGTGTACCATTGTGAATGGAAATTTGTAAAACCGTTTTTCTTGTCTCTTCTTCTGCTATGCAGAATTTATCGAGGTCGGAAAACCTTTGCGTGCCCTGGATACGTTGCAGGAGGTTTTCCGCAACAAGAGGTGGAACTATGCCTACTCCGAGACGGTCATTGAGCCTCTCATGTTCAAGTACTTGTACTTGTGCGTGGAGCTCAAGAAGTCGCATATTGCCAAGGAGGGTCTCTTCCAATATCGTAACATGTTCCAATTGGTGAATGTGAACTCACTGGAGAATGTAATACGCGGCTACTTGAAAATGGCCGAGGAGCATACCGAGGCGGCCCAAGCGCAATCATCGGCCGCCGTGGCTGTGCTGGAACTGGATGATCTTGATAATATTGCGACACCAGAGAGCATTTTGATGAGTGCCGTTTGCGGAGAGGATGCCCAGGATCGTTCGGATCGTACTATTTTGTTGCCATGGGTTAAATTCCTTTGGGAATCCTATTGCCAGTGTCTTGAGCTGTTGCGCGTCAACACTCATTGCGAGGCGCTTTATCACGATATTGCGCGCATGGCCTTTCAGTTCTGCTTGAAGTACAATCGCAAGAGTGAATTCCGTCGCTTGTGCGACAAGCTGCGTAAGCATCTTGAAGACATCTGCAAGAGCAGCAATCAAACAACAGGCGTGTCTATCAACAAGGTCGAGACACAACAGTTGTGCTTGGATACCAGGCTCTACCTGTTAGACTCGGCCATACAAATGGAGCTGTGGCAAGAAGCCTACAAGGCAATCGAGGACATTCACGGTCTGATGGCCATGTCCAAGAAGACGCCGGTGCCAAAAACCATGGCTAATTATTATCAGAAATTGGCTATGGTCTTCAGCAAGGCTGGCAATCAGCTCTTCCATGCAGCCGCTTTGCTCAAGCTGTTCCAGTTGACTCGCGAGCTCAAGAAGAATCTTACTAAGGATGATCTGCAGCGTATGGCAGCTCATGTACTTCTGGCTACGCTGTCGATACCTCTGCCTTCTGCTCATCCGGAATTCGATCGGTTCATCGAGGCGGACAAGAGTCCTCTGGAGAAGGCCCAAAAGCTGGCCGTGCTGCTGGGTCTGCCCCAGCCGCCGACGCGTGTCTCTCTAATCCGGGAAGTTGTAAGTGGAAGGAATGCAACACAATGTGTATATATTTATGTATTTTACTATTTAGGTGCGCTTGAATGTGCCGAATCTGGTATCCGAAGACTTCCGTAACCTATACAACTGGCTCGAGGTGGACTTTAATCCACTCAATCTCTGCAAGCGTATTCAGTCTATTGTGGATACCATTGAAGCCAGTGAAACGGAGAATACTCTGCTCACACCTTACATCCAATCATTGAAGGATGTGACTATAATGCGTCTAATTCGCCAAATCTCTCAAGTCTATGAGAGCATCGAGTTTAAACGTTTGCTGGAACTGGCGCCGTTCTGCAATATTTTTGAGCTGGAGAAGCTGTTGGTGGAGTCAGTGCGTCACAATGACATGCAAATACGCATCGATCATCAGCGCAACAGCATTTACTTCGGCACTGATCTAACTGAGAGTCAGCGCGAATATCGTCCTGACGGACCGACACTGCAGTCAATGCCCTCGGAGCAGATTCGTTCCCAGTTAGTCAACATGTCCACCGTGTTAACTCGAGCCGTTTCTATTGTATATCCGAATCGGGAGCGTGATCAAAGGGCTAAGCTGCGCAGCCAAATGGTACAGCATTATCATGAGATCAAAGATCGTGAACATCAGCGCATTCTGCAACGCCAGAAGATCATTGAAGATCGTAAGGAGTTCATTGAGAAGCAGAATAATGCGCGCGAGGAGGAGGAAGCTCGGCGCCACGAAGAGGAATCACGCAAAGCCAAGTTGGCCGAGCAGAAGCGATTGGAGCAGGAACAGGAGGAGCGGGAGCGCAAGCGTCATGAGAACGAAATCCAGGCGATCAAGGAGAAGAGCCTTAAGGAGAAGGTGCAGCAAATATCGCAGACTGCGCACGGCAAGAAAATGCTTTCCAAATTGGATGAGGAAGGCATCAAGAAACTCGATGCTGAGCAAATTGCTATGCGTGAAAGCGAAGAGCTGCAGCGAGAGCGCAAGGAGCTGCAGTCCAAACTCAAGTCACAAGAGAAGAAGATTGACTACTTTGAGCGTGCCAAGCGTCTGGAGGAGATTCCACTCTTTGAGAAATATCTGGCTGAGAAGAATGTCAAGGACAAAGAGTTTTGGGAAGCCACCGAAGCCACTCGCATTGAAAACGCAATTGCCGAACGCAAGGATGCCGTTAGCCAGCAGGAGCGTCTTAAGCGTATGTATCCCGATCGCGATGAGTTTCTCGAAGCACTTAAGAAAGAGCGTGCCTCGCTCTTCGTTGAGAAACTCAAGAAGTTCGAAATTGCTCTTGCCGAGGAGCGTAAGAAGCGTCTCGCTGAGCGTGTGGTACGCCGTCGCGAGGAACGCCGCCAAGCCTACCTGCGTGCCAAGGAAGAGGAACGTTTCCGCAAGGAGGAAGAGATACGTCTTGCTCGCGAGGCCGAAGAGCGAGCCGCTGCCGAGGCTCGTCGTCTGGAACGTGAGGCAGAGGATGAGAAGCGTCGTCAGCAATATGAAAAGCAACGTGCCAAGGAGGAGGAGGCCGAACGTAAGATCCAGGAGGATCGCGAACGTCTTGCCCGCGAGGTGGCTGTCGAGCGTGAACGCAGCGAAAAGGAGCGCGATGTCTGGCGTCCACGCGGTGATCGCAGCGAACGACCAAGTGCTGCTCCAGCTGGCGGTGCCAGCGAGTGGCGTCGTAATGCTCCTACAAGTGATCGCAATGACCGTAACGATCGCAATGAACGTAACGATCGTAGCGATCGCAATGACCGTAATGATCGTAGCGAACGCATTGAGCGTAGCGATCGCAATGATCGCCCAGAACGCAAGGACACTGATGGCGGTGCTGATTCGTCATGGCGTGTGCGCCGTGAACCTGTCGAACCACAGCGTGGTCCTGGTACTGCTAGCACTGGTATGGATCGTTCAGAACGTGGTGGCGGCGCTGGCGGTGGTCCGTCTGGTCGCGATGACAAGTGGCGTCGTGGTGGTGATCGCTCCGAGCGTCTTGGGGGTGATCGTGATCGCGATCGCGATCGTGACTCCTTCCGCCGTAATGATGGACCACGCCGTGATGATGATCGCGGTGGCTTCCGTCGTGACGATCAGCCCCAGCGTGATACAGGCAGCAACTGGCGCGATTCGCCACGTCAAAACGATCGCGATAATCGAGATAATCGCCGTCCGGCTGGCGATAGACGCGATATTCGTGGCGCTGGACCAAAGGAAGGAGGCGGCGGTGGCGGTGGTGGTAACTGGCGTACGGCTCCCTCTCCACGCGATGAAAAACCTCCAGTCAAGCGCGATCAGCCACAAGACAAGGGTGAGTCCAGACTATTAATAACAGCGACTTAATAGGTAATTAAAAATTAATTCAATTATCATTGCAGAAAACAAAGCCGGAGATGATGGCGAATGGACAAGCGTTAAGCGTCGTTAATTATTTATATGAATATCTTCCGCACATAACAGATTACACACGTATCCAAGTTTTTTTTAATTTAATATATGTACACAGAATGTATTGCGATTGAGCCGAAGTAAAAATTTGTATGCTGTGGGCAGATTTTCAACAAATTTTTGTCCCACAATCTCAGAAACTTATCTTTAACAAAAGAAAATAAAATCAATATAAATATACATCCGTTTGTCAGCAGCTCCATATTGTCTTTCTAGCTGCTAATTTAAAGTTCATACAAATAAATTTGATAATCAATAATTTTTGAATTTTTTTTTAATAGATCAACCAGTGGAATAAATCGTGGGAAATAAACGTCTGGAAAGTATCGCAGATCTTAGAAGTCCAATGCTTCTACAACTGTAATGCAACGTAAGCAACGATCGGAGGTTTTCACCTAAAGAAGCATAGTAAAAAGAATCGATGTTGAAGAAATCGACAAGTGATCAATTTAGCGGCCACTATTTTCTTTGGATGTTTCACATAATTTTTACACATATTTAAAATAATTATTAAATTTTTTTTCAGCACCAGTGTAGTAATTGATCTGCTTTGTAAGTTTTTATTATTTTTATTTAAAAAAAAGAATATGTTTACTGTTAACGGCAAAGCATGTTATTTCTTTTTCGTTTTGTTTATGTTAATAACAGTTGCGTCTATGTAATGAAATTGTTCGCTGTTTAAGAATCAGCTGTAATCAGAAACAGCGACAACGGTCACATTCTTCAAATAAAATTATTCCCCGCGGTTCGCGTCCACGTGAACACATTTCAGCAATGTGATTCATTTAGTTATTAGATAAAAATAAAGTCAAATCCGTGTTTTATTTGTTCAAAAATTATAAATTTAATAAGAAACTGCAACAACCCTAAAATTTCAATAATAACTAAATCACACAGTTCAAACAGTGTTTGTGCGTTGGCATTGCAGACGCGGTTCGCCATGTGAGGTTAAAGCAGATAAACAGAAAACAGCAAAACAAACTTTCAAGACAATTTAAAAACAGTGATCAGCTTGAGATGTGCAGCATAGTTTAGTGCAGCTTTCTTTAAAGGTAATATACGATCGGTGTTTCAGATCAAAGCTAAGCTAAACACAGGTGCTCCTCCCGCCAGCAAGTGCAAATGATATGCGAGCTAAAACATAGATATGTATGTGATTATATACATATGTATGTATGTACAAAATATCGCATGGAACTGGTGGGCTCGCATTTCGCCGTCTGCCATCCCCTGTCACTTTTTAAAAAGAAATAAGTTTCTAAGCAAAACATGCGTACTTCGAAAGTGTGTGGGTGTGGGTGTATGTGATGTGTGAAATTTGATAGTAAAGTTTACCAATATATTCGAAAATATTGTTGATAGGCATCAACATACATACGCGTGCACTTATACGCACACGCTCATAGCAAAAGCACATGGCGCGGCGGCGGCACTCACACACACGTGGTGGCTTTGCCGTTGAATATGAGTGCGCCTGTGGGTGTGACTGTATGTGTGTATGCATGTAGATTGTGCGGTGTTTGTTGTTATTGTTATTCGTGATGCTATACATTTTGTTAAAATGCAATTTATGAATTTAACTAGCAAGGAGCAAAAATTGTTATCAATTTGCAAGTTGCGCATCCTCAACTCACAAACATTGAAGCGGCTTTTGACATGCGGCACATTGAGGGTGGCAAATAACAGCATGTTGCTTGCTCAAAACGTGCCACGCTGCTTTTTGCCGTTTTGCTTTGTGCGACTGTTTGGTGCACTTCAGCGTTGCCAACTTGTTAAACTGTGAGCGCGAAACAAAACATGTTATCGATTGTGGGTTCAAATGCACGTGGACATATGGAGTAAAAGCCCCTGTTAAATATTCGTTAATTTTTATTTACTTATTATAGACTACCTACATTTTGAGACGAGCAAAAAAAAAGGAATCCGCATGAATATTAAATAAATAGATCCAGCTTGCCAGTAACTATATGAATTTCTCCTGACAATTTGATAAAGTATAAATAAAATATTTTTTATTGTTTGCTTTTGACATTTCTTTTAGGTAAAAACTGAATTTTCTTGATCTATCATTCTGTCTTACAGTCATCTTCGATTGCAATTTATGTATATTTGCTGGGTTCCTTTGAGCGCTTTGTTCTGCGCTTGGCCAACATGTTCTGTTTTTCGCGCATGCGCTGCAGTATTTGTTCGCGATTCTGGCTTAACTGCTCCAGTTGTTGCTCAACTTTATCAGCAACACCTGGATCGAGCTCCAGACAGTTTTCAATGCGCACGTTGCTAGCTGCCAAACTACTGAGCTGAGCTGACAGCTGTGCATCGGTGCCCGTTAGAATAAAATACTCCGTGTTGCCTATAACTTTAGGCGGAGGGGCATCTGCTGGAGCAGCAGCGAGCTGCTTTAGCGCACTCGATACGTCAGTTTTGGCTGGCTGCTTAGACTTGACCACAGCCTTTGGAATTTTGGCCGGCTCAGTTGCCTTCTGCTTGACAGTTGACGAAGCTTTGGCAACTGCAACTCTTGGCATAGTCTTCTTTTTGGGATCCACTGGTGTCGGTTGTGTCTTGGCCACAACTGGCTTGCTTCCCTTTTGGTCGACTTGCTTGGCATCCGGTTTCTTAGTTTGCTGCTCAGTTGCCAATATTTTGTTCTGCTTGTTGAGCTGCTTGATTTTCTTCATCACATCCTTCTCCAGCAGTTTCTCCTTCTTCTCGAGCATTTGGATAATGCGGCGTCTGGATGCTATCGGCGGTGTCTGCGGGGTCTTGCTCTCATCTTCGACCTTCGCCTCTGCTGGCAGAGTAGTTCCTACAGATTCATTTCCATTGCTTCGACCTGGCGATGTTGCACGCGCAGCATTGGCTGGCGGACGCCTGTTAGCGTTCTTGCACAGTTTCTTATCGTTTGTGCGCTTCTTGCCAGCCAAGAGCTGATTCAATACCACCTTGCAAAAGTCGCAGCTGCAGGTCTTATTGGCTTGATTATCGCTGCCCGGTGGCCCATTCAGCGCAGTCTTCACAGTCTCATCCAACTCAACGTTGGCCAAATTCATTGGCTCGGTCCCCTTGACCGGCGGGGTCTTGTAGTTTATCTTCTTGTTGAACACCTTCGAGAGCTTCTGGATTTTGCTGAATGTTGCCACAGCACGTCGTGTTAGGGACTTGCTAAACGATCCGGCCTGTTCATTGGCCGGCAGTGCTGGTAGCTGAGCTTGACACTCTGCCGAATGTCCGACCTGCTTCTGTAAGTTCTCATCAGCAAGCAGGTCGAACACATTGTTATCCGACTGGGTGGTCTTGTCCTTAACGACAACTGTTACAGTTGCCTTATCCGCAGATTGTTCTGGCATATTCTCCGCTTCTTGCCCCTGTTGCGGTACGGCTGTCCTGGTATTGGTTGTCTTTAGAGATGCATTTTTGTTGCCACATTTGGGGTCCTGTTTAGCTCCATTGCTGCCGCCCGGCTTCACAGCATCCGACGCACTCGGGATAGTTGCCGCTGCAGTGCCGTTCTGCGCCTCACTTGCCGCAGTAGCACGTGCATTCGATTCTGATTGGCGCTTTGCCTCGGCAGCCTTGCGCTGACGACGAGTAATTACTTTTTTTGGCATTATAAGTATTTTTTTCTATTTTTGCAATAAATTTGTTAAAAATGTTGATGACTTTTTTTAAAAAACTGACAGCTATTAAATTGTGTTCCTTACTGCGTGACGTTAAGCGAAAAAAGAGACGATTTTTCACATGTGGAATGTCAACAAATTTTAAAGGCCAACCGCGACAGTTTTCTTTACAGTGTTAATCAACACTAGCCTATGTTGATTGAATGTTGTTTTTTTTCTAATTCAATTGCAGACACTTTATATATGAACACAACAATATGGATTCACGTATGCTAAATGTGTTTCACGAGGATCCTTTCGAGGGGAACTTTGTTAAATATGATCCAGAGCCAAATTTCTGGTCAACCAGTGATGAGTACGTTTAATTAACCTTAAATTTTAAACAGTCGTCATTATTTATATATTTCTTAAATAGTTTACAGTTAACTGATACACTCAATGGGATCCTGCCCATTGAGCCGACAGATGAATCGTTGCTCAGCCAAAATGAGGCCGAGCAGCAATTGCAGAACAGAAAAAACTTGGTAATGCTTGTGGAGCTATGCGCTTCTGAGACTTATGCTAATTAAGTTTTATTTTTATTTTGGCAGCTCATCTACAGCGACTTTGTGGAGCAGCAGCTGAGCGATGATACCAATATGCTCAATGGCCAGGTCTATAGAGGCATCACAGGCTGCGATGCTGAGGCGGCCTTCGAGCAGCAGCGGCAAATCAGCCTGCTAATTAATTCGGATGACGAACACCTAGATCCAGACGGTCGTGGGCTTGGGGACGATGATGTACAGAGCCAGTGCAGCAATTCCACATTTCGTACGCGCACCGACAGCTCTTCTATAGGAGATTATGAGTCACACTCCAGTGACTACGATGACGTCGATGAGCGCCTGATGCCCACAGATGTATTCGCAATGAACCACGCGGAACATAAGCGACGTACCCTGAGCACAAACACCGTTTGCTCTGAAGCGGATGCCCTGGGTCTGAACATTGATGTGAATAACTTTGATTTGGCTGACTTTATCACCAAAGATGATTTCGCCGATACGATTAATTCGTTGCGTCCGCGGAACGTTCAACATGTCACAGCTGTGCCCGTGGCACCTGAAACTCCTATTAAATTAAAAACCGAATTAGTCCAAGCTAAGAAGCCGCAAGTTCTTACAGCTGAGAGGCAAGCCGCAGCGCTGCCTGCTCCTGTGATCATAACATCCAAGAGTCGTGACTCCGATTACGATTCGGACTCAATCATCGATGTGGAGACGGTCGATGTGATTGATGTGGATGAGTCTCTGTGGGTGCGCAGTCAAATGGACGCACCCATCGCCACTGATGATTTGTGCTATGTCGACAATGTTAAAGCCGATCCGTCCTGGTGTCCCAAGCAAGCGCCTAAGCGTATGAGTGGCGCAGAGGTAAGTAG